GGTGGGGGGGGCAGAGATTTGAGGAGACCCCACATTGTCTGGGGGGGGTGTGCAATGTATTGCACCGGGCTGCGCTGCGACCGCCGCAACTGCTGCAACTGCTGCAACCACTGTGCTGCAATCGCCGCAACACCACCGCTGCAACCGCCGCACACGCTGTGGTGCGACCGCTGCAACCGCTGCGCCGCAGCCGCTGCCCTGAAACCACTGCAACCGCTGCACCGCGCTGCGGTGCCAATGCAGCGCTGCAGAAGTAGTCCTCCACCGCAATGTGACTGGAGCGCTGCAGCGCATGTTCTGCCCTGCAACTGCGATGCTGCAGCGCCGGTCTGGCACTGCAGCGCAGATGTAACGCTGCGGCGCAAGTGCTCCACCGCAACGCGGATGCGACGCTGCAGCGCAGGCCTGGCACTGCAACGTAAACGCAACGCTGCAGCACGCTGCAATGTGAATGAAGTGCTGCAGAGCAAGTTCTGCACTGCAAATGCAGCGCCGCAGCACAAGTGCTCCACTGCAGTACAGATGCAACGCTGCGGCACAAGTGCTCTGCTGCAGTGTAAATGCAGTGCTGCAGAAATGCTCCACTGCAATGCAGATGCCACGCTGCAGCACAAGTGCTCCGCTGCGATGTGAATGCAATGCTCCAGTGCAACCCTGGCACTGCAATGCAAAGGCAACGCTGCAGCACCAGTGCTGTGCTGCAATGTGAATGGAGTGCTGCAGCGCATGTTCTGCCCTGCAACTGCAACGCTGCAGCGCAATCCTGGCACTGCACCGCAGACGAAACGCTGCAGCGCAAGCCTGGTACTGCAACGTAAACGCACCGCTGCAGCACACTGCAATGCGAATGAAGTGCTGCAGTAGGAGTGTTTCACCGCAATGCGGATGCAACGCTGCAGCACAACTGCTCCGCTGCAGTGTAAATGCAGTGCTGCAGAAGTGCTCCGCTGTAATCGAAATGCAACTCTGCAGCAAGTGCTCCACTGCGATGCGAACGAAGCGCTGCGGCACATGTTCTGCGCTGCAATGCCAATGCAGCGCTGCAGCGCAATCCCCGCGCTGCAAAACAAACGCAGCACTGCTGGCGAAGTGCTGCGCTGCAACGCGGATGCGGCGCTGCAGCACAAGCGCTACACTGCAATGCGAATGCAATGCTCCAGCGTGATCCTGGCACTGCGACGCAGACGCAACGCTGCAGTACCAGTCCTCCGCTGCAATGTGAGTGAAGCACTGCAGCGCACGTTCTGCACTGCTGCAGCACAATCCTGGCACGGCAACGGAAATGCAGCGCTGTGGTAGAGGTGCTCCACTGCAATGCAGATGCAACGCTGCAGCGCAGGTGCTACACTGCAACGCGAATGAATCGCTGCAGCACATGTTCTGCGCTGCAATATAAATGCAACACTGCAGCGCAATGCTGGTGCTGCAATGCAAACGCAGCGCCACGGTAGAAGTGCTCCACTGCAGCGCAGAGGCAACGTTGCAGCGCAAGTGCTGTGCTGCAGTGTAAATGCAACGCTGCGGCAGAAATGCTCCACTGCAGTGCAGATGCAACGCTGCGGCGCAAGTGCTGTGCTGCAATGTGAATGAAATGCTGCAGTGCGTGCCTGGTGCTGCAATGGAAACGCAACGCTGCAGCGCAAGTGCTGCACTGGAACGCGAATGCAGTGCTGCAGTGTAAGTGCTCCACTGCAATGCGAATGAAGAGCTGCAGTGCATGTTCTGCACCGCAATGCAAATGCAGCGCTGCAGCGCAGCTGCTCCTCTGCAGTGCAGGTGCGATGCCGCAGCGCAAGTGTTCCACTGCAACGGGAATGCGACGCTGCAGCGCGAGCCTGGCGCCGCGCAATGGAAACGCAACACCGCAGCGCGAACGCAACGCTCCAGCGCAATCCTGGCGCCGCGCCGCAACCGCAACGCTGC